AATATCCTTCAGATTCAACCATGTTGTGAGGTATTTCACAGATTCATCATTCTTTTCCTACATTTTGTGGTATTCCACTGTGTATGCACCAAAGTTTGTTTAATCATTCTTCTCTTGATTAACATTTAGGCTGTTTCTATGTTTTTGTTATGTCTCTTGTAGACAGCATATTGAGAGATCCTGTTTTCTTGTCCATTCTGCTCATTATGTCTATTGACTGGAATATTTAATCCATTTACATTCAGTGTAATTATCAATAGGTATGAATGAATTGTTATTTTTTTTTCTATGTGTTTTATAATGCAGCTGTTGAATTCTTTGTTCAACATAATTTTCTATGCTGAGTTCATTTTGTTTGTGGGTCTTGTCATTTTAATTTCTGTTGTGTTAATGTTTACTGAACTCTTCTGATTTTCCTCTGGTTTGATTTTGATGTGCAGATGTATTATTTTTCTCTAAGGTTACCTTGTAGTTTATTAGTTTTTTCTCTGCTTAAGAAAGTTCATTTATCTTAAAAGTTGCTTGACTTCCTTGCCATTTGAAAGTTCTGTATTTACACTAATCGCTCTTTTTGATTTTTAGTTGACTTCATTATACTGGGATATATCTGGTTCCCTATTTTCAGTCTTATAGGTTTGTATTACTTTAAATACTTCTATATTTGAATTGAGTTCTGAGTGGTGTTGTCATAAATGCTAATTTCAGGTTATTGTCTGCTGTTGTTGGTTCTCAGTCTAAAGTTGCCCTGGTCATTACAATCTCCTTTAATTTTGATTAGCAGGAAATGTCCTAATTTTGTGATCGTATTTGAGGTACCGCTTTGCTGGGTAAATGATTCTTGGTTAGCAATCTTTTTCTTTCAGAGTTTTGTATCTGTCATTCCATTACTGTCTTGCTTTAATGGTTTCTGCTGAGAAATCAGCTTACTTAGCCTTATTGAATATCCTTTGTAGGTAAATTTTCGTTTTTCCAAGCTGTTGTCAGAATTGTTTTCTGGTTTTTGGTTTTGGAAAGTTTGATTATGGTATGTCTTGATTTTCTTTTGAATCCATCCTGTTTGGAGTTTGTTCACCTGATGTGGTGCTGTGGGTTAAAGCACTGGACCACAAGGTCAGTTTGCAGCACAAGGTCAGTTTGAACCATAAGATTGGCAATTCAAACTCACCAGCTGCTTGTTGGAAAGTTTATACAGGGTCTCTATGAATCAGAACTGACTCAACAGCACTTTACAACAACAGCAACAATGTGTTAATTATATTTGGCATATGTAAGCCTAATATGTACAGATCTTTGTGCTAAGTTTCTCTTTAGGGTAAATAAAGATAAACTCATTTAATGTCTAATATGTCCCAGTCTCATTTCTAAGCACCAGTGATAAAGCTATTAAAATTACATACAACTCCCTGTTCTCATGGAGCCTTATATTTTATTTAGTATGAGAGAAACAGACAATTAAAAAATAGTAAGCTACCACTCTTCTGTCATTTTGTAGTACTATGGTGGTTTGTGTGTTGCTGCGGTGCTGAACTCTGTATCAGTGGTAATTTAAATACTAGCAGGGTCACCCACGGTGGACAGATTACAGCTAAGCTTTCAGAAAGTCTGTAACTATTGGTGTGACCATCTGGAGCAAGGAAAGTGAAGAAAACGAAAGACATAAGGAAGAAATTAGTCCATAGGACTAATGGTCCACGCAAACCACAGCTTCTTTCAGCTTGAGACCAGAATAACTAGATGGTGCTTATCTGCTGTTCTGGGACCAGAAATACAATAGAAGGTTCCAGATGTTGTTGTTGTCAGGTGCCATCGAGTCGGATCCGATTCATAGCTACCCCATGCACAGCAGAACGAAACAATGTCCGATCCTGGGCCAACCTCACTACTGCTGCCACACTTGAGTCCATCAATGATGCCACCTGGCTGAT